GACAGCCCAAAGATCTTTCAAGACGAGTCTTTCCAATACTCCATGGTAGGTCGATCTGTGGTCGACCACCAAGAATTCCATAAAATGTTGCGCCACTAGAAGAGCTGAACCCATCTCGATGGGCAGAATTATCCACTCTCGTGGGAGGATGCTGTCTCCAGTAAATCCGAACAGTGGATCGGTCATGGGGATCAACCCATGTTCAATTTGCATTTTGTCGAAGATGGAATTGAATAGTATATTCACTGAAATGCCACTGTCGACGAGCATGTGTTTGAGCCCATTTCTTGCCACTACGGCTCTCACAACCAATGCGTCACAATGGGGGTGGTGAACTCCTTCTGCATCTTCCTGGGAGAAGATGATTGGGGCCATCCTATTGGCCACTTGAGACTCGTTGACAATGTAGGTAAGCATTTGGCGGGTCCTTTACTTCCCTTGTATAATTCCTTTGGGTGTTCCTGGTGTTGCCACCGATGTGAGGTCCCCCAATGATCGTATCGATCTCCCTGATGGTTTGGCCTCTAGAAAATGGGGCTGGATCTCTCTGTTTGGACCCTCCTCGGTCCCTTAATTCTCTTTCACGAGGTGATTGCTCTCTAGGCCTTCTCCTTCCCTGTTCGGGGAGGCGGATCTACGATGATATTTGTTCCTCCTGAAGGGATGTGGGTTGCTTCGATCCGACCATTGATTAGCATCTCTACACTCGCTGGTGTCATGCACATAGAGTTGCTGGAAAGTGCAAAAGCTTGCCCCTTCCAAGGGCCTGTTTGACCGCTTCTTCTTCTTTTTATTATTATCAGTTCTTCCAGATGGCCCTGCTTCGCCAAGGAGATTCTCGTAGGCCAACACCGAGACGGCATTTAGCATGGCAGAAGCCAGTGCCTATCCGAAGGTGGGAGCTATTGAATGACCTGCTTAAGTCCATTACTGAGTGATAAGGTGTGCTGTGGGTCCTCGACCTACCTGCCTCTGAGGCGGAAGGAGTCCCTGCGCTGCACGATTTCTGTGATCAATCATCTCTTCACTGACGATCTCAACTCTCATCATTTCTACCAACTCGTCATAAGTGGTGGGATTTTTGCTATGCACATCCCTCCAGAACAAAGTGTTCATGTTGAGGCCGCCTTTCAAGATTAAAAGGGCTTCTCTGTCAGTGACCTGCTCGCAATATGTGATTTTGTCTATAAATCTGGCGAGATAGCTTTTCAGCATCTATCCAGGGGCCTGCCTCATATCTCGCAGGTGTTGCATAGGGGCCTCTCTTTCTCTGCGTGAGAAGTACAGGTTCAAAAATGCATTCTTCAGATCCGGCCAACTCCTAATGCTCCGAGGGGGGAGGGGGAGGGGGGGAGGGGAGAGGAAGTCTGCTGTACCACACTTCAACAGCCCCGCTTAAAATTAAGTGGAAGGCTCTGCACTTCAAAGCAGGCGAGGCTCCCTTGAGGCTCATCTGCGTCATATACTTGGTGAGATGCTTTTTCGGAACCCCCTTTCCTTCATACTTGGAGATCTTAGGGGGCATGAAATTCGTAGGCATTGGGAAACTTTGGATTTTCCTCGAGAAAGGAAGGTTATCATCATCGTCGTCAATTTCAAATGATCGACAAGGCCCATATAACCCTTCATCATCTTGAATGTTCCGAGGAGGGAGAGGTGCTTCTCTTCGACTCCCCCAATCCACTAAACCCCTTCTCTCATTCCTATTTCTAGGAGGGGGAGGTGCTTGTTTTTGCTCCTACTCTTGCCGAACTGATCTCCGCACTAAGTAGACCCTATTACTAGGGTCTTGCCCTATTCGGTCGAAGACGCTAACTGACCTTTGTGCTTCATTTTCCTGATGGAAATTGTCCCCCAATTGCGGTTCTGCTGGCTAGCTTCCTTGCACATAGAATGTGGCTTCAGTACCCACTCCTCTTTCGAGGGGGCGCTCTCTGTGCTGGCTCACATGGCCTCAGGAACAGGATGCCGGGGCTTCCTGAACTGGATATGATTTCTGTGGCATTTGAGAGCCCTGGTGACCTCGAGCTTGCATGAAAAGTTCATGCATTGCCATATTCTGGGCTGCGATGTCTCTCATGCCCGCAGCTATTGGAGTCATTCCTTCGGTGAGCATGGCTGTTCTTTCACCTTGGCAACGCCGGTGATGGGGTCTCTGGTGGGTAACATTGTTACGAAACACCTCTTCTTCAGAGGCCTCTCTCATAGGGTTCTCGTCTTCATGGTTGTAACTCATCTTATTTCCTTTTTTAAGGGTGATAAGAACTCGGATTATAACTTGACTTTGTTCTTTTTCAAGAACGTGTCCTTTTCAGGGTAAGTCTCCGGTCTTCCGGTGGTTTCTCCGGTGGAGAATGCAGAACTTTGGATGGAAGAATTTTCCACAGACGGCGCCAATCTGTTGACCAACCGATAGCTACTCTACGTATTCCTCCCTGCGCACAGTCAAATGCACACGGCCAGAACCAACGGGGATGGAGGCGGTCGCATACACTCCGATGGTCAAATTAGCCTCAGGTGGTCGGAACAATACCAAGGTTGTGCTCAATAAAGGAGAGGAGAATATATATATATATATATATATATATATATATGCTTGTTGTGGAAAGCTACGCTGTAAGAGTTTCATTACCTTTGTCTCTTGCCAAACATTGGGTATTTATAGGTGAGGAGATTCATTGGATGTGGGACACGTGTATGTATCTGACGGTGTGAGGCGTCTGCTCATAGGCGTCAATCAGCCGCGTCTATAGAGTGGGCGAGTAATTACTTCTCCCGAGTTGAGTTGATATAAAGTTGATACGTCACATCAACTAGGCTCATGGAGACGTCAAATTAATTGAATTTTGGGGGCAGAAAGGATCTTGACATAGATCTCTTTCTGAAATTGATGGCGGATCTTCTAGCAGAGAACTTCGGCTTGAGGGGCGAGAGCTCCTCGGTCAGTTCGGTAGATTGTCCGTGTTTTGCATTGTGTTAGCAGATGGTGGCTCCACTTCAGATGGATGTCGCACACCTCGTACGACGTGGTTGTAGAATTTTCGAACTGTTTCAGATGGGGGCGTAACAATTATATTTTTTATTAAATTATCAGATTGAAAACTTGATCATGGGTTTGGATAAGTTGCACTGGAGGTTAATGAACTTTCACTCTAGTTATAATCGAGTCATTAAGTTTTGATTAGGAGCAAATAAGTCACTAGATTTTAATGAACCTACTGAAATTAGCCGACGAATCCGTCAAAATTAATCAAATGCTAACATTTTCATCACACCCACATATCGATAACTTAAAAGGTCACTGACCTTTTATTCTGGTTGCAATCAAGTCACTTAGTCCTTATTCTTCATAGAATAATATTTGTGGAAATTACAGATACTAATAGATTTGAAATTCCCATTTCATAAATCAGAAGCATATTTAGTATTTTCACAAATCAGAAACTTTTATTAATTAATTAATATATATATAAAATAATTAATCTAACAAATCCTAATTTCAAACCCCCTAAATTACCTCACTTCTCTCTCTATTCTCACATTTCAACCATGGCTCTCAATAGTCGCGAAAAAAAAATGAGACAGTTGGTGCTGGAGTGAAGCTAATCGAAGCAGCATCGTCGTCACCCAACTCCAATCCAACGACGTTGGCTCCTCCGTCTCTTCTCCTCTCCTGTATTGCATCAGATCCATCGCGACATAGTTTTTCCCTTCGCGAATCTGTGATGGCGATTTTGTGGCGGTGACTGTAGTGGTGGATCTGGCGGTCTACGTGGATGTGGATTTGAGATGGTGTTGATGGGTGGTCGTATGGTAGTGTGGTAGTGGTGTGGACGACGATGCAAGGCTGCGATGGTATTGGCGGCGCGGTGGTGCGCATTGTTGACCGGTTTGTTTTGAAGTGGTGGGTGGATCTGCGGCATTGGATCTCGAATGATAATATTGTGGTGTTTTCTGCTATTTGTTGATTTGTTTGAAGTAGTGGTATTTAGTAAGGAGGTGGTGGTGGTTCTGACAGTGGTGGTGACGGTGGTATTACTGGAGATGGTGATGAGATAATATTCACAAGTGTTGATGATCACAAATTATTTTGTTGATCTGTGCCATTAAATTGATCAATTAGTGATCAATAAATAATAGGCGACCAATGAGAAAAATAAATTGTGACCAAGAAATAATGTATGACCTAAATTTTTTTTTTTATTTGTGACCAATAATTTGATAATCTGTGGCTATCTAATATGTAACGAGTTATAATATTTGTGATCTGTAACTAATTAATAAGTTGTGACCTATATATTTTTTATTCATGATCGATGAAAAAATTGTGACTTATAAATTTTTTGAATTGTGACTATAAAACCATTTGTTATATAAAATTTTTTATTTGTGATCGAAAAATAATATGTAACTAACAAAATCCTTGATCCATAACCAAATTGTATAGATATGTGACCTTAATTATTTAATTAATAAAATATATAATTACTTAATTAAACTATAAATAAATTTTAATAATTATCTTATTTTTGAAATTTGAAATTTTTATTCTTATTTTTGAAATGGGCAATAGTTATCTTTTTAGTTATGAAATTTTTCCATAATATTATACGTAAATTCAAAAAAATTTATTTTTTAATTATATATTTTTCATCAATTTACTATTTTAAAATATATTTTTACAATAAAATAAGACTTAAATAGGCTCTAAACTTTCATCCTAGTTGAAACTAGGTCAATTGATTTGGCAGCAAATGAAATTTGTCAAATGAATTATAAACAAATTGGCATGCCCTAAAGAAAAATGATCATTAGCCAGACTCAAAAATTGGGGGAAAAAAAGCTGGTGTGACAGTATGTTGTTGGATTTTATTTTTTAAAAAAAAATTCAAACTCTTAAATTAGACATCGACACGTGTACAACTTGTTTTTAACCCTATTTTTCAACCTATTTCTGTAGCATTTCTCTGTCCTAAAACACGAGAAATAATTGGGTAGAACAGTTACACTGTCCTGAATGACGTGACCATCCAACGAGGAGTCGTCAAGGAACTGTTTCACCACGTATTACGGTACGCAAGCATCTCTCCTAAAACACAACTGGTACCTTTCCCCACTAGCTCAACCATCCCTCTTTCTCTATCTATCTATAAAAGCTTGTTCCGATTCTCGTTGAGAACTTCCCCAAACCCAAAATGCACAGATATATATAGAGAGAGACATATTTATTCAGGCAAACCATTCTAGGTTTTGTGATAAAATTTGGTAAAGAAGATCTTCAATCTCCATTTATTTATAATAATGGCGAAGAAGAGAAAATCCGATGCGACGAGGCTGGATGAGGTGGATCGAACCATGTACTCTACCTTCTGTAGTGCGGCTAACTCCCTCTCTCAGCTTTACAGCCAGGCCATGCACCACCAGAGACTCTCCTTTCAGGCTGGTGAACGCCACGCGTTGGTCAGCACCTTTCCTCAAAATTTTGTCGGTTTTACTTGGATTTTTTTTTTCTTTTCAAAATAGAGCTTCTCTTGAATGGGGTGTGTAAATTTTTTTTGAGGGAATTCATCTTTAATTTCATTTGTAAGGATAAATTGTCTGCTGCTCAGCACCGCGCCGACTCGACGCACAATTTTTTTTTTTTTTTTGCCGGTTTTACTTTATGGGTTTCCTTTAATTCAGCTCTCTTTTAATCGTTCGCATTTTTGTACGGTGTTGGGTGTTGATTTATTTTTTATTTCACCTGTAGATATATTCGGATGATGTGTGTGAAATAGTTTCATTTTTGTGTTTTAATCCTCCTAAATTTGTTGGCCCTTGTCTAATTTCGTTTAGGAATTTTGATAATTTGTAAAGAATAATAATAACTGGTATGCTGGTTCCTTTTCACTAGGTTTGTACTGTGTATCAGTAATTTAACTGCTCTTTGTTTATCATCTTATATACGAATTTTCATAATGTTTATTTCGTTACTTCTTGTTTC